TTTTGTTGGACTGAGCACCCAGACATACGCATGACAGTTGCTTTCACTATTTTATAACAATGACTGCTAAATTCTCAAGTCACCGTCCGGGAAGTAGACTCCGTAGTCATTCAGTAGATAATAAATATATTTTTCTCAACGGTTTTTCTTTATATTTAATAAACCTGTTGTTAGAATTACCAAAAGTGATACAAATTTTATTTAAGGAGCTCTTATTATAGCCTGATTCGTGACGTTGGATGCAAGAGACAAAAGTCACCAGAGCTGTAGTTTGAGAATTATTCCTCTTTAATTACGGTACATAACGTACATAGAGAGGTCCACACTAGACTTCGCCACCAATCTCAATATTATCACATTTTGGGAAACGAGTCCACCTTATAGGTACATAACGTACATAGGTACATAACATATAGAGAGGTCCACACTAGTTAGAGGTCCAATCCACAATATTACATAAACGTCCACATAGGTACATAACGTAAATAGGTACATCCACACATAGAGAGGTCTTCGCCACCAATCTCAATATTATCACATTTTGGGAAACGAGTCCACCTTATAGGTACATAACGTACATAGGTACATAACGTACATAGAGAGGTCCACACTAGACTTCGCCACCAATCTCAATATTATCACATTTTGGGAAACGAGTCAACCTTATAAAAACAACACACCGGCCCCAACCAAGGAGGGAATGGAAAGCCGGAAAACCGGTAAGGTTGTTATCTGTCAACAAACCTGAGGAAGTGGAGGAAAGAAGAGTGTGAATAGAATACTGAGTAGAGAGAATGTGGATGACAGAGATTCCATGTCAGTATTAAACTTTCCAAGCCCTTATTCATCATTATGTATCTCAGAAACTTCAGCTGTCTTATTCTGTTTCCAAGGGTAATTGTGGTTTTCACTTCCGTTTTTGATGGGTTTTCGTCCTTTTATACATCATCTGTACATTTCTCTTCAGAATTCTTCTGTAGAACTGGATTTGTGTTGTCTCAAGTCTTCTTATTTTTTAGGAAATTTCTCAGCTTTCATTGCCATATGGGAGGCTTCTTATAACACAGTAGTTCAGCAATATTTTAAGGAAGTTTTCCACTTTCTTTTTTTTAAGCATTCAACACCAAGCAAGGCGGGAAGCCACTAGGAAGCAAGGGGTTACAGAGAGTTGGAGCGAGGGCAAATAGGAGTGATAGAGGAAAGGATGAAGAGAAGGATAGGGGATAGATCAGGGCATCTGGGGACGTCGATTGACATTACATTTTAATAGTTGGAGATTATAGCTATCAGGGAAACAGGAAAAGGGGAGGGAGTTCCACAGGCGAGAAGTGCGAGACATGAAGCAATTGGAGTAGAAGAGACGACTACATTTAACAGTTTCGACAGTGAAAGGGTGAGAGCGATATGCCAGCCTAGTTCTCGGTTTAACCTTTCGCAGCCATTGTTATAACACTTCGCACAATACGCAAACTTCTTCATTCGTTTGGTTTTGATATATTCCAATTTGTAGTTTTCACATTGGTTTGCTTCTATAGCTCTCGTTTATTCAGTTTCGCTTCTAACATTTGATGAATAGTTCTTTTTTTTCTTCTGTTAATTTTACTAAATATAGCCAAAGAACAGATCAAATATGACGATTCATTTTTGCGCTTTATTGAACATAAAACTACCTAGAATTGTCGTGGCATTTTTACTTAAAAACCTGGTGGAGAATTTATTCAATCACAAGATTAACTGTAGCAAAAGATCAAATTTAACAAGTAACATTTCATTTTCTCGTGTAATTAAACATTAAGAATGTTTACATTAAAAAAAAAAAATTCATTATTTAAAAGACAATATTTAAAATGAAAATAAAAAATTAATTGTTCTTCACATTTTCATTGGATAAACTTGGCAATGCTGAAGGTTAAAGGTCTTGATTCGTCACGGGGAAACGAGTTAATCATGTATTATTTATTAATAAAAATGTCTTATGCTTAGACAATTTACTCTTCACCGTAAATCTTTCCATATTCCAAGGAACACATCCAAATGGAATACTAACTGAAATGGTTACTGTAAATATAAGATCAAAGTGTAGTAGCTGTTCGTTTTATGAAAAGTTTTACATTTGTTTGACCATACATATATACATACACATACATATATGTGTATGTGTGTGTGCGTGTGTGCAATTAAAAATAATTTCCATCACTATATCGAGATATGCACAAAAATCTACATACTCAGTCAAAAATAATAAATACGTTTAATAATGTCTAATACAATAGCCGGAAGCGCTCAGTTTTATATATATATATATATATATATTTAATCGATTCTCCCGTCAGGTTTCGACGTATTTCAGTTTCAGGAAACTGACAGCCCGATACATGAGAAGGCCCAATACAGGGACCTGGTGCACTACATATAAACAACCCCACCTCAGGTTTTGAATTCAGAGCTGTCCTTCTCCTAGACCAGTTGCCACCCGGCTATAGAACCCAATCTGTCCTGCAATTTAACCCATAATTTCCATCAATATATCGAACCTGGATTCGAACTCGGCTCTGCGATTCCATATCCATTATATATATATATATATATATATATATATATATATATATATATATATGTATCCTTGCGTGATAAGGTGATATATGTTTGGAATTTCGTCAAAAATTCCACATGCCAATAAATAACTCAACTCTCCATGGTTTTGCTTTATCACTATACTGAACTCGCAACTCTATTGGTCATGTCACTGGATTATTCAAACAACGCTTTTTTATCCACTGGACCATATATTCTTGGGGATAAATGGTATTTTATAAAAGATATATTATAAAAGATATAAGATGAAAACTGTTTATTATATATTTTATACAAAAGGATAATAATATTAAACAACATATTTTACTGTTGAAATTTTAGTTCAACGATTACTTTTATCAATTGTAAACCCAGCCTCAGGCAAATCATTTAATTGACGCAAACTGATTTTCATATGTTTTATTATTTCTTAGTTATTAATAAATTTTAATGATTCTTTCACATTTTGTTGCTACTTATGTTAAAATAATAAATGACCAGACAGACATTCACGAACGAGAGATTGCTATCATCGAGATAATTTGAACACAGTATAGTCTGTGCGAATTTTAGTTTTCCCCAAAACCACAGGATGCTTCGCATTAACAAAACTAAGCCTGACCATATGTTGTATTCTTAAATAGCTTTGTGAAATCGAGACTTTCTTATGGATGTCACGCTTGACATCAAAGACGTTCAGAAATATCTAAACTGTCATCTGAAATAAACGTTCTCAAATCAACTATTAAAAATGTCTTCCAGAAAGTGAAGAGTTCTTAGAGAGGACCAGAATTCTTCGAACCTCGTACACTGGCGATGCATATTCACCAATAATGAACTACACGAAATAAAAGAAACCACATCACTTGAGGGTTTTCAATCTAAAAAATAAGAGAAAATAATGACGGACCCAGTTGGCCTTCCTAATATTTCAAACAAATTAGGTTAGGAATGAAATGATCAATACTGGATGAGATGATAACACCTAATATAAACGAGTAACCTAGCTTATAGACCAATCATGTTAAAAACACCGATTCCCGTACGTTTACTGAAGTTAAGCAACCTCAATTCTGGTCAGTACCTAGAAGGGATTGCTTTTGAATATCAGTTTCTGTAAGCTTGTATGTGCGGGTGGTGTAATTGATAATGGCATGGAATTGTTAATCGGAGAGCGTTTTTCAAATTCTGTGTTTTATATTCACCGAAAGTTAGGAAAAAGCATTTTCCATTTGTTAATTAGTTTTGTCACTAAATTATGATTATCTCAAAAAATATTCTTTCAATCTAAAAATATTTTGGGGGTTTTTAAATAACCTGGTTTGATAAGGCATAGAAAACGCATCAATCAATGAGAAACGTATTTTTATTCTGATTTGTAAAATAAGATCCAAACGGTATTGCAAAATCTTATTTGAATTGAGTTTCATACAAAACCAATTATAAATTTCCTTTAAAATATTTCCGATATTTAGTTGTTAGGATATTGTCTTCTCCCTAAGGATTATCTGATGCGAGTTTTATCAACATGGAACTGCGATAAATGAAGACATGATTGGATCTTCGTTGTTTGTAAATCATGTTGCCCAGCGTGTACCACTGGCTTTGATGATGGAGATTTATTTCCTTAGTTCACAGCACAACAGAAATCATAAAAAATAACTTTTTAATAAATAAGCAGGCAACTAAATTTTCCGATATAAGTGAGCACATTATTGCCTGCCATGTCAGGACCTCCAAGAGCAGCAACAACTAAAATGGACAGCACATATAACTTAAAGAGAAAATAATGACATACTCTATGCATATAAAATGTTAGGAAGGCAACTCCCATCAGTACCAGAAAGAGCGATAACAATAAATGGACTTGAGAAACATATTTTCCTGAAAAAATATTTTGGTTTAGTTTGATTTGTTTTGTTTTACGGCAAATCAGCCTCAATGTGTTATTTATTGCCGACAACTTTTTTCATGGTAATATTTTGTTTTGTCAAAAATATATTTCTGGTAATATTATTTAAAAAATGTATTGCTGGTAATATTTTTTTTCAAAAACATATTGCTACTAATAGTGTTTTTTTTTTCTTCAAAAATTTATTTCTGCTAATAAATTTTACAAATATTCCTGGTATTGAAACCTATTTTTTACACTTTCATAATGCTTTTTACCTCAGTTTGGGGGTTAACTCTTTGTCCATAGCTAGGACCCTAACGGGTGCTACCACTCCGGGTCAGGGTGGACCTGGGAACACCAGGAATTAAGAGGTGGTTCCACGCTCCTCAAAACCTCCAGATCAGAGGTCTTGGTGTCGGGTGCAGTTTATAGTCTTACCCTGGACGCGGATGTAGTTTATCGTCATACCCAATACGGAAAAAAATGTTTTAACAAACAGATTTTATACTAGCTGCTAGGTCAATGAATGCCA